GAGCGCCAGTGGTGATGGGGTCTTGGCTGCCGGCTCGGGCGCCGTGGCGGTCGCTCAGCCGGCAGGGATCCCGGCCAGCCCACGGCCTCCCCGACCCACCACGCCGGGCAGCGGCGGACACCCGTCAGCTGGTGTGCAGGCAGCGGGTTTTGGCAGGGAGATGCTGTTTTCCCTCTGCCGGGGGGCCCCGGCGCCTTTCTGGGGTCAGGCCCAGAGCGTCCTCGGTGGGGACAGCGGAGCGGCACGCGGGTGATGCCACCCCACGGGGCTGGGCTGTAGGGCATTGCCACACCGGGGGACAGGCTGTGTGCCGGGGGTGCCGCGGCAGCGTCGTGCCTTGGGGAGGGCTGGTCTGGCCCCGGTGGGCTCGTGGTTGGTGGGGTTCCCGCAGTACCGGTGCCAGCGGTGGCTCGGGGGGGTCCCCGGGGAGCGAGCGGGGTGGCTTGCGGGGTGTTTGGTCACTGGGAGCCCAGAGCCGCGGGCAGATGGACGTGCGGGTGGACGGATGGACGGAGCGAAGCTTCCCTGTGGGGCACCGGGCTGGTGGGGAGGCACGGGGCTGATCATCCCCTCTCCCCCAGGCCGCAAGTTCATCATCGCCAACGCCCGGGTGGAGAACTGCGCGGTGATCTACTGCAACGACGGCTTCTGCCAGCTGTGCGGGTACTCGCGGGCGGAGGTGATGCAGAAGCCCAGCACCTGCGACTTCCTCCACGGGCCCCGCACCCAGCGCGGCGCCGCCGCCCAGATCGCCCAGGCACTGCTGGGCGCCGAGGAGCGCAAGGTGGAGATCTGCTTCTACCGCAAGGACGGTAGGGACCCACGCTGCCGTGGCCGGCGGAGATTGACGGTTATTTGCACGGGGGTGAAGGCGGCCGTCCATCACGGGCAGACAGACCCTTGAGTTAATGGCCCGCCGAGGCGGGCGGCTGCGCCGTGCCCATCCATCAGTCGTGCCGTGCCCCGCCGCGTCGTGGGTGGCACGTGGTGCCGGCGTGGGTGGGAGCCTGGCACCCGTGGCTGCTGCCTGCGTGCTGAGGGGCAGTGCCGGGGCAGCACGTCTGGCCCCAGGGGTGGGGGTTTGTGCTGCCCCACCAGCACCGCTGGCGGTCCACAGCCCTCCCCGGCTGCTGCTATGGCTCCCGGCAGGGCGATGGTGCTGGGGGCTGCCGGCTGGGGTGCCAGGAAGCCACGGGCCGTGGGGCTGGGGCTGTGGGGTGGGAACAGTGTGCTGTGATCTGTGGCAGGGCACTGTAGCGGGGGGGTGCTTTGGGGTGCAGAGGCACCGCGTTGCCTGGGAGCAAGGCCAGAGAGATGGGGAGCGGTGGGGGGGCCACAATTCAGGGCAGCATGGTCTGAGTGCTGGGAAGGAGGCAAAGGGGGGGGGCAGACCCCATCCTGCCCTGCCTTTGCTCTGCTGCGTGGCTTCGCTGGCCCAGGCCAGCTCCTGCCCTGCCAGCAGCCACTTAGCCTGCCCTGTTCTGTGGGTCCAGCTGCCCCATGGCTGCCCCACGGCTGGGCAGGACATGGGTGCTGCACTGTGACCAGCCCCGGAGCGAGCTTTCGGGGCCATGGGGCTCGAGCCTGCGTTGGGCATCATGGTGCTGCCGTAGTGGTGGGGGTATGCGTGGGGGTCATCGGCCAGGCTGGGCACCAGGGCCGTGCTGTCTCCCCCACCTCACTCCAGTGCTGCCGGTCCCAGGGGTCCCTGCACCGGGTGACTGTGTGGGCCGGTGGGTGCTGGGCCCCGCGGTGCCTGGGCTGGCGCCAGCACCGGCAGCCCTGCGTTGGCGGTGCCGGGGCTGTCCCATGTTGTGGCTCTGCTGGTGCCTGCACCAGGTGTCCCGGCTCTCATGGCAGCTGTCTCCAGCTCTCGGCACCCGGCCCCAGTTCCGGCGCACAGAGTAAACAAAGCTGGTTCCCAGCTGCTGGCCCCACGCTGGCTCTGCCGGCAGCTGCCACGTGGAGCCACGACGGCTTCGGCTCCCCAGTGCTGCCTGGCCTCTGGGGCACGGAGCGCTGGTGGGTCCGGCTGGGGCTGGGGCAGCTGCCAGGGGCTCTAGGGACTGAGCTGGGGTGGGGGGAGTGGGGGGGGGGCCCCCGGTCCCTGCCCTGGCTCTGTCCTGCTGCAGACGGCTGCAGCTCTGCCGTGCTGCCTGGGCAGCCACGTGCCGCGGTGCCTGGCACAGCCGGGGTTGGCAGCCGGGGCCACGGCAGCAAGGCGGGTGCATCTGGTGCCGGTGCCCTTTGGACCCGTGCGTGGCACCGTGGGCTGGCAGGGCGCAGGCAGCACATAGCTGCTCCCTCCCAGCAGCGCGGGCAGCCCTGCTCAGGCAGGAGTCCTCATTAAGGCTGTGCTAATCACCCTGCCCATCGCTTGTTGGCTGCCGTGTGCCAGCAGACAGGGACGAGGCTCATGCTCCTGCCCAGGCCCTTGCTGGGATCCCCCCAGCTGCCGCGCTCCCAGGCAGCGTCCATGACCGGCTCCTGCCTGCCAGCTGCCTGTGCTTCGTGCCTCTGGCGCTGGCTCTGCGCAGCATTGGCGCCGGCAGGCTGAGCCGGCAGCCCTGAGTGCCCCGGGGGAACCCAGGGGTGCCTCTGACCCCGGGGGTGCGCTGCCCCCCACTCCCCCCTCCCAGCCTGGGTGGGATGAGGCATTGCATCTCCAGCCCTTGTGGGGGGAGAGGGTGGGAATGGGGTCTGTGTCCCCAGGGCCCCCCTGCCCTGGGCCCTGTCCTGGGCTGCGCAGGGGGCTGCTGCCCTCGGGCCAACAGGGGGGTCTTCCCCTGACTCATGCTCCCATGGCTCCCCCCTCCCCCGGCACTAAGCCTGGGGGGGCCAGGCTCCCAAGGCAGTGCTACAGCAGGATGACCCAGCTGCCCCCCACCACCCTACCCTGAGCAGCGTAGGGGGTCCCAGCACCCTGCCAGCCCCCTCCCCAGCCTGGGCTCTTCAGTGCTGCTGTGGGACCCGTAGGGAGGAGGGGTGTGGGGTCCTGGGGGTCATGCGGGGGGGGGCCCAGCCTAGGGCCTGGCTCTGTCCCAGATGGCAGGGCTGACCCGGGGGGGGGGGGGAGCTCCCTCCAGCTGCCCTGGCCCTGGCGTGGGGATGGGGCTTCCCCTGCCCATGGGTTGGCAGGGGCACCCCAGGGTGTGCAGCAGTGGGTGCCAGCGGGGGTGGCTGGTGCTGCGGCAGCGCTGCCCATGCCACGTCCCTGGGGAGTGCGGTGTTTCCGATGGGATATTTATAGGTGGTGGCGGCAGCGGGTGCATGCAGTGGCCTGGGAGCTGCTCCTTAACGCTCCCCGCTGTGGCCGGGACCTCCCAGGGCGGGGGGGGGGGGCTCTGCAGGGAACTGGCTGCCCCTGCCCATGGGGCAGAGCACCATGGGGCAGGGGAGCAGTGAGGAGCAGCGTTGGAGGCAGCAGGACCCCCAGGCAGTGTCCGACCTCAGGATATGGGGTTTTCCTGTATCCACAGACCTGCCCCGTGCCCAGGGGCTGTTGCGGTGGGTCCTGGCTGCCAGGGCTGTGGTGGTGCTGCTCACGGGTGTCCCCTCTCCCTGCCGGGCACAGCTCTGTGCCAGCAGCGTGCCGGTGCCGCCTGCCACCGCAGGGCTAGCATGGGGTGGGGGCTGCCGGCTGCGCTGCGAGAGCAGGCGAGGGGTGCTCGGGAGGAGGGGTCCCGAGGGGTCCCACCTGCTGCGCCGTGTCCGGCCCCTCGCTCCGCCAGGGGACCCCGAGCACCTGGACACCCCCAGACACCACAGGGCAGGGACCCCCACCGCCCCTGGCTCCGGCGTCATGGCTGGGCCCTGGCAGCCCCAGCACATCCCTGGCGCGGCTGCCATCGCTCACCCCATCGGGTGCCCTCGTGGTCGTGCTGCGGCACTGAACCCTGCTCCTCTGCCCCGGCAGCACCCGTGCAGCCTGTCGCGGCACGGCCCTGGGCTGCGGTTGTGTGGTTCTGTGGGGAGCCGGCTGGGCCCCGCCGCGTCGCCAGCCGCTGCTGCAGCCATTAGTTTTGAGCGATGTTGTTTATACAGCCTTGGCGCTGCCGGGGACGCCGGAAGGTCATGGCAGCTGTGGGGAGCCGTGTCCCTGGAGGGACAGCCTTGGGCTCACCAGGGCGGCCACCGCGGTGCTGCACCGCGTCTGCGGCAAGGAGGGGGCCAGGGAGGGGGCAGAGACGCCCCACTGCCTATGGCCTTGGGGTTACCTGGGGCCGGGGACGGCTGCGGCAGCGTGTGTCCCTGGTTGTCGGCACGGGCTGGGAGCCAGGCCGAGGGCTCAAAGGAGCCGGATCAGGCCCCCAGTCCCGGCCTGCCCAGCATGAGCTGGCACATCTTGGTGTGGGTGCTCCCACCGTGCCGGCAGGGCTTCCCCAGCCTGGCCGAGTCCCACCGTGGGCACCGTGCTGGCAGGTCGGTGGCCACGGGCCGGGAGGGCTGGTGAGGAGCATCGGGACATCTCAGCTCACGCTGGCACTGCCAGGGCTGCCCGGGCAAGGTCGTGCCCTGGCCGCGGTGCAGGAGCCAGGCCAGGTGCCGGTGGTCTTGGCTCTGCAGGGGTGGCAGACAGTGTGCCAATGCCGGCACGGGGTGTCTCAGAGAGGGGTGGGTGGGGGTGTCCTGGGGGGACCCCATGCCCGGGGCAGCGTGGGACGGGGATCCCAGTGGGGCTTGTGTGGGGCAGCGTGGGGGAGCGGTGACGTGTCTGGGGTAACTGGCCGGCCCTCTGGTCACAACACCGGGGTGCAGAGCAGGGGGGGGTCCTGCGGCACAGCACAGTGGGTGCTCGGTGCAGGCTAAGCTGTGCCGTGGGGTGCCCGGTGCGGTACGGAGTGTGCGGTGTGGGGTGCAGGGTTGGGGGGCTGCAGGGTGCGCAGGGTGGGCTGCAGGGTGCCGTGCAGGCTGCAGGGTGAGGTGCGCAGCGTGGGGGTGCGTGGTGCGGTGCGGGGGTGCAGGGTGCGGGGGTGCAGGGTGCGAA